CAATTAGACAATAACTAATGAATTTATTGTGTGAGCACCGCATTGTTTTGGCCTAATCCACACACAAACGTGTATATATATATATATATAGATTATAATTGCATGTCAGCTAGCCAAGTTGATGGGTTTTCTCACCACAATGGGTTTCCTCCCCCTCCTCCTACACTTGCATGTGCTTTGGCAATTAAACAGCAATGGAAGCTTCTCTCTTTTTTGTAGCTTTAGTTTTTCCTCTAGTTGATTACTATATTTAAAGGTAGCGCGCATTACAAGAAGCTGAACAAATTAAAAGGAATGCAAAATATTTATTGTTCATAAAACTCGAAATGAAAAGAGCCGACCATAAATATTTGCTGATATGATTGAGTGTTGACAGCCGACAAATTGCCGAAAAAAATAAAGCAAAAAAAATACATATTGTTATTATTGACTTGACCAATTAGCAGGCCCAAAGCCTGGAAATTTTTACTATAATTCTCTGGTTCGCCCAGCTGTGGTTTTTAGCTTGTTGCTTTGATCGTGAGCGGGTTTTCTAATTTGCCCCCGAAAAAGCCAAACGCAATTTTTCTGTGTTTTTTTCGTGAGTGGTTTTCCTTCTTCGATTCGCTTCAATCACGTGCAGTACTCGACAATAGATTCTCTGTCGTTAAACTTGTGAGCAGTTAACCATATTTTGTCTCTCGGTCCGTCCCTCCTTAGCTGCAGGTGCAAACTGTACTCTAAGCCATGTTAATATGGCCGCCATGGTGAGGAGCCCACTGTGATTGCGGCTGTTGTTATTTGTTATAGCCACGAATGCGGCGAAGAGCAATAAAAACAAAGCGAACGGCAAATGGCCAACAACATTATACAATGTGTTTTGGTACAGTCAAGGCGGATGGGAAGGAATTTTGTTATATATTAGTTAAGATAAATAAGTAAAAATGGATATACTTTGCTATTCCTCCAAAAGAACTAACAAAATAATTACATTAAGCTTTTTAAGAATTTGAATAAGATATTTGCAAAAATAAATAAATAAATAAAATGCTGTGTTACATCATATAAGAATATGTTTAATGGTATATTTGCCATAAAACCAAACAATTTCATTAATTTTTAATGTAAATGTCATTAAACAGAAATGTAAACTAAGTTTTTTTGTAACGGTTTTCAATAAATTAAGCAAGGCTAAACAAATATCATTCATCATAAAATATTTCATGTTTTGAATAAATACAGCACAACGTATCCATGAATAAAAAGGATAGATTTTTAGACATTTTATACTTTATGCTAAAATTAAATATATATTTAGGTACGCTATATTTTATTATTTATATATATATATTTAGGTACCCCATATATTATTTACTTCTTACTATGGGATTAATATTTCCAATCCTAGAAGCTTTATTAGTTTTGACTCGGTAACATAAAAATAAATTTCCAATATCAACAGCAATGCTTGTAAATTTTTTAAAAATTATTTTCTGGGTAACTTAAGTTATTACTCCAAACTTCTTTTGTTTGGTCACCATTTCGGGGGATTACTGTATGTGAAAAACACCAAAAGCTACTCACACACGCGCAGCGCGGGGAGGCAGTGAACTCGCATGGCCGCCGCACGAATAACGTTTCGTGACAACCGCCAACAACAATTGAAGGTTGAAGTTACATTGCCAGTGCGTGTGTATCCATCTATCCCTGTGTGCGTGCAACGCCATTCGGGCGTACCAACAAAAATTATATACCTACGATTATATATATGTATAAAAATGAAACGGAGGCCACGCAGCAATCGCAATTGGCCCCATCCACCCATCCACCCATCCGTTCACCCACCCCAAAACCACCTGCATCGCGATGGCTCTTTTTTGTTGCTTTCGGCTGCTGGTGCAACTCTATAACTTCGTCTATATATGCCTGATTATAAACATTATTAAGGGGCGGCGGTGGGCGGGGGACTTAATTTTCAATGCCTTCGTTTTGATTGAGGAAATCGGTTGTCGCATTGAAAATTCAGGGAAATTTTCGTTTTGGTTAAGGCCAAATGGGCGTCATTTGTATGCGATGAGTGCATTTTCTGAGCGGTGGTCGCTCTCATATATTTAGGCTTTAATTGAAGTGGGAAAAGTTAAAGACATGATCTACAAACTTTTGACAGGCACCCTTTACTAAAAATAAATGGAACCCAGAACTACAAGATCTTAAAAGCCTTAAAAAGTAAAAGCCTTACTATTTCCAAGGATGTGAAATTCTCGTAAAATGTTCTATGCAGCTTAACTAAAATATTTCGATGGATAAAATATTTCCCTGCTACTACTTATACAAATCTCAACAATATAATTAATATATTCTAAAATAATCTGCCGCATTTTCTGTAATCAAATTAAATTAAAACAAAAGACTTAGGCAACGAACTTGTTATTGAAAAAAGGTTTTCGATGTTTGTGGTGCCCCATCAAGGCGAATATTTAGAGCAAATGCGTTGGGCAACGAACTTGTTTGTCATCAGGCTGAAATTGTTGATCAACTGCGTTTGGGGCCTGATTAGCCAGGTGGTAAACCGGAGGGGATCCGATCCCGCCGAGATGTCTGTCAACGCAGACGCAAAATGCGGGGGCCATAAAATTAGTTGATGCTGTTGGCTGCCGTTTTTTATGGCATCTCTTCTACGATTTTATAACGCAGCCTCTTTTGTCTGATTTCGAGAGCCTCGTTTTGTGCGAGTGTGCTGGTATGTCAGGTCGTTTCCTTCGACAATATTTTCAAATTAACAGCATTAACAGAGACCTTTTAATTAAGTTTCTTCTTCTGTGTCTCCCTGGCATTGGGAAACTTTATCGATTTCTGTCGCTGATTGGTCACCGGGGTTTGGTTCGCTTTGGTTAGGTTTTTCGTTTTTCGTTTTCGGTTTCTTAGTTTTTTCAAGTTTTTTTCTAGTTTTTTGGAGACACATGTGAAAGCTTTCTATTACAAATCGGCTAAAACGACCATCAGGTGCCAGACCGTCTTAACTGCCTTTTTAGCTTTCGCTCGTTATCGGCCTGACCTCTTCTTTGGGTTTGGTCATTTTAATGGTCCCATCCAGCGACGCACACAAATCCAAAAAAATCGTTCCCATGATTGTCGCCAAAGTGTTTTCGTATCATACATCGAATACGTGATAGTTGTTGTATTTCTAGCTCTTTTTTGTGCTCTGATACAAACAGAAAGAGAAAAACTCTTCTGATACCCATCAAGTTATCCATCAAGTATTGCCTCCACTGTTTGTCTCTTTTACCCTCATCATACAGGTGAACAATTTCCAGTGTGTGTGTCTTAGGCGCTTAAAGCTTTTTAAGGGTTTTTAAGATTTTTATCTAACAAACTCGCTGTGCATACTTAATTATGTATTTTGAAATGTGAGACAGGTTGGCAAGGCATCGTGGCCGGTATCCGAACGTATGTATATTTAGGTATGGAACGGCCACAACTATTTCTGAAGACTGGGTCCCGAGCTACTGGCGTTGACAACTGGGGGATAGCAGGTGCAGTACAGTTTCGAGATAAAGATACAGATTGGCTGTGACTGTTTTCTAAAAGGTTAGAGAATGTCAGAAGGTAAAGGGCACCATACATTGCTGATTTAACTAATTTGTTTTATTTAGAAAGTTTATGTAGACTGGATTTTCAAGATGCTTGATCTTGACTAATATGTAAAGTTTCTATATTTTACAAAATATTTTATTTTAACCATCATTTGATTTAACAGTTTTCTACTTTTATATAACCCATTTGAACACACTTCTGCAGTAAGACATATTAAAGTGCCATAAGACCTATAAAAATTGTATTAAAACCTTCGGTAATTCCGCTTACTTATCGCACTCATCGCTGCAGCCTGTTTTTCTGGGCTCCCCTTATAAGTTAATTTGCAAAACGTAAGCCACTGCAGTTGGAAGCAGGAGGACTTCCCTGCTGCGTATGCGTAATGCATATAATTTGCAACCTTACCGAGGTAAAAAAAAAAGATAAACCCAACCAACCGAGGGCTCAAAGAGCAAACCTTGGGGCATTCAAATAAAGTTGTGAAGTAGCGCTGGCATATAAATAACAGGCGATTCTATGGATTAAAATCAAAGCTGAAATTTATACATCTCCATGTAACATATGAATGCTAGCCAGAAGCGAGGGAGATGCCCATCCGATATCGGGGCATAACTATGTGCCAGACCATTTCATTTTTCAACAATTGGCCAAAACTACGCCTCAATAACCAAAACGGGGCGTGTGCTGCCACAAAAGTAATGAGCAGTTGGCCACGCGCGCTCCCAGAAAAAAAACGGGGGGAAAAAACATTACCTGCAGGCAAAAAATTGGCAGAAGGATGCAGCGAGAAGCGGACTTTCTGCCTCGGCCTGCACTCGAGCCTATAATTATAATTGAAATAAATTGATTTATTTGCTCAATATCGAACTCTCCTTCGACTCCGGCTCGAACTCTATGCCAAAACGCATAAAACCATAAAGAAAAATGGCAACAATACAATTCATGGCAACTCTGCGCTCTTTGTTGTTGTGCATGGTCGTGTATATGTGCTTAATTGTTGTTATTGGTTTTTCGTTTAGGTCTGGCCAAAACAAAAAAAATATATGTGCCGCCGGCCAAAGTTGTTGCCAAAGTCCGGGCCCAACTGCAATGACGATGACGACGTCGATAAGGTCATGAGCAAGTGTCATTGCAGCGCATAAATTATTTCAGGGGGTAAGGACTGGAAAATAAATAAACGTTTTACAGGTTGCCCACAACCAATGCAGAAATTTGAAAAGAGGGGATAATAGATGGGTTTTTCAAGGGGGAGGTAGAGAATGGCTTAAATAAATCTTAAGCTATTTTCTGTAGACAAAAACCATTGTAAAAGTATTCTTCAAAATATTTATTGGTTAGATAAATAAAAAAAAGATAAAATATCATTTTCTAACATTTTCGGTCTTATTGTAGAAACCACCTTATAAGATATGTTAAGAATATGCCTCCAATATTATTAAATGGATTTAAAAGTCCTTATATAATAGAACATTATTTTAAGGGGTTTATAGTTCAGTATTGTGGGGAGTTAAACATTTCCTACTCGAATATAATACAATGTTATTTTAGTAACTTTCTAGCACCTTGAAGTATGCTAGCAATTTGAATAATGGGAACCATTGCCTATAAATGTCATATTATATCAAATGATATCGCAGAGTTTCAAAGGCTTATTTTCCCATTATTATGTTATTACCCAAAGCCGGAGTTAAAATTCCTAGCCCGCGCCAATCTTCCATTCTAAAAGCCCTTGCAAACGCTTTGTTTGACTTGGGCTAAAGCGAAGCGCCTCCGCCAGCTGAACGGCTATTATATCTTATCATTAAAATATTTTTACGCCGCTTTAAATTATTATACAAAGAGGTACAAACAACAGGGAAATATGGACGTTTGCTGGCTACTGTTAAATGAGCACGTTGGGCCTGGTCAGCCGTGTCCGGGGCACTCCTCTTCGGGGCTGGCTTCTAACAACACTTACAAGTGCTGGAACTACATAATCTAAAAGCAGCCAAAGCAGAAGCAACCGCAGAGCAGCGGCAATAATAAAATTGAAACTGATCGCATTTCAGAATGCCCGGCACGTAGCGCAGTTTATTAAAATAACTTGGCTAGAGGGACGCGAAGGAATGGCGGGATGTTGGGAGAGCTCGGGGAACCATCACCTGCTATGGGGAAAGAAAAATTAGTTTAATCATAAAAATGCTCGACATCGAAGGCAGCGAGGAAGACAACTCTTTGGGGGCAGCTACCTGTTTTGAGCAAGAAGATGACTTCAATTAAAAGCTTTTAACAATATCACGTACGGCAAATCGCAGGGGCAGAGGGGGATTCAGAGTCTGATTACATCACAGTCCTGTGGCGGCCTCAATGGAGGCTTTTTTTTACTTTTTTCATTTTTTTGGCCGGTTATCAGGTGTAAAGCATCGCGCTCAAAGCGGTTTCAATGAAAACGCGTTTGTGTCCGAAGTCTTTTGATTTTCGCCACATCTCTGGAGGATAGTGGGTCTGTAGATAGCATCGCCGGCCGAGATTTTCTGCACGTGCTATATCCACCCCCGTCAGCCGCCCGCAGATCAAAGATCCTCTGACCAGCTCTTCTGACCGAAAAAAATAAGATAAAAAATAAACAAAAGTTGACCATGTCACGTCAGGGCGTCAAGTCTTTGTCGGCACAAAGTTTTATATTTTTTCTTATTCGCTCCTGTCACTGTCAGCACAAGTTAATAACAATAACAGTAACAGTATAAGCAATTTCGGCGGCAGCAGCAAAAACCCAGTATTCGGCGCATGCGCAACTTTCGGGCGTTTTTCGGCAATCGTTTCGATTATAAAAATTTCATTTATGCCTTATGGGCGATTTGCAATTTCTGCGCAATTTACGTAGTGAATTTTTTGCTCTGGGTAAGTAAGTGCCCTGATCGTTTGGCGCGTGCGATTTACGCAATAAAAATGGCGTTTATGCTTCAATTAAAATTCATTTAATCGAACTTACAAGTAAATACAGAAATTATGTAAAAAGGGAGGAGCGTTTTAGGGGTTTTGTGTAAATAAAATGCTTACCTGGAAAAAATTACGGAATTATATATTTTCTTTAAAATTCATATAGATATTTATTATTTGTAAATACATTTATTTTATACATTTTATTTTTTAACTCAAATAGATTCTCAGAACACTGTAATTAAAAAAGTTTCGGGTTAATTACTTAAAATAATTTCAGAATGTCCTAAAAATTGTATTGTATTGTATTGTAAAATTGTATCTAATGTAACTATATTTTTATTAGAGAAAAAATATTTTTTTTTCGATTTTTTCCAAATAAGTTTCCAATTTGCAATTTTTATGGCAAGGTCAAAGAAAACTCACCACGCTCTGCCCGGAAACCCACCCCTTGTGCAGATGGTTCGTGGAAAGGCTAAGTCAGGGGTTTCAGAAGGGTTCACTTCCGCTTCCTATAAGACTCGAAAACACTAAGAACTCGGGGCATAAAAACAATTGAAAGAGTTGATTGGCCTTTGATGTGCCAGGAGGCATTTGGTGAGCCAGGAAAAAAGTGTCAGTCGGAAAATGTGTGCCACTGTTTTTGTCGCTAATGATATGCACCCCTGGGCCTAAAAGGCCACGACCCCTGAAATGCGATGGATATCGTTTGACGCAATCGTCGTATTTTTTTCTGTTTTTTCTGTTTTTCGAAGGAAACCAACATGCGTGCCGTAGTTGTGCCATAGTTTGCAAGTTTGGGTTCTGTTTGAAGTCCCAGTCACCTGGGCACAGGAAGAGGAAGAGCCGTAGAACGCGTTGCCCTTTTGACTGCATTATGCAAATGTCCCATGAAAAGAGATTTTTATTGACATATGTTTTTCCCTTTGCCCGGCCTGTATGTATTTCGTTTGGTTTCCTGTCGCCACTTCGGTGGGTGTGAACAGAGTTTTAATTTTCATACATTTTCCATTCGAACTTCTTGGGTTGGGTTTTCCAGTGACAGAGTGCTTTGGATTGCATTTGGAACCGATTGAAAGTGAGAGGACAGCACACAAAAGTGAAGTTTATGGAGATTTTACGCCTTAATGAATTATTTATTTTTCTAGTTTTCCTCTTTGTGGGATTTTTCCCGAAATTGAAATCAAAACCGAAGACATTAAACTCAGATCATGAAAGTGAGTTAAGCACATGCAAGTTTTGTAACTTTTAATGAAGCTGAAGTTGAATTTTATAATATATTTATGATGGGTAATATGGTTTATAACTGCAGTTTTATTAGTGAACAAGTTTTGGGTCTTAAAACAATAGGTTTGGGATTATGAAAGTAATACTTTTAAGGTAGTGGGGTAGTTAAAAAAATACTATAGTAAAATGAAGTGGGAAATTTAAGGAAATGTAAGACTCTTACATGTAACTTTTATGATCCATAATGTGAATTCCAAGTCTAAATTAGTTTATTACTGCAACAAATTTAAGACCAATTTTATGATACTTAAAATTTTACCCCTTTCGAACAATCTTAGACAATTGGCAATATTATGTATATGTTTTGGCAATATATCTGGTAATGCCTAACTAAATATAGATAAGATTTGACTGTTTTTCCCCTCTAATAATCCGCTTTACCATAACCTACTTAACTACTTAACGAGCGTTGAAAGCGAGGCTTACCCCTCAAAAAAAGTGAGAAAAAAAATTTGTGTCCAGGTGTTGCAACGCTTTTTTCGAACCTCCTCTATGGCGTTCGCCAATAATTCACGACCCTGACGGGTTCGCTCTGCCTATGGGACGTGTCACAGCGCCGCAGAGATAAATTAGTTAATAAATAAAAGGGAAAAATGCTAACTAATTTGCATATTTGCCCTTTGCGCGGTCTCATTGACAGTTGGGCGTCGGGCTTCAATGCCAAAAGCCAATGAGGCGCACCAAAAATGCATTTAAACCGAAAACGGGGCGATGGGTCGTCCGTACTCTACCCTTTTGGACTACAATTGCCATTTTGTGCTCTGCTCGCATTTTTATTTTCTTTTATTTTTTCCATACCGTAGTGTGTGTATTTTTTGGCAGGACGCAGAAATTTTCTATTTTTGGCTGGGCTAATTTGCATATGACAGCAAGGATGTTTTCAGTGCGTTGTATGTGTGTGCTGGAATTTTGGCAAACTCACTTCTGGGTTGCCCTGCCAGCTTGTCTCGACTCGTAGGTAGCGAAAGTGAAAGGATTCGGGCCGCAGGACCCAAAGGATAAGCGCCCTGATTGCATACCAGAGACTTTTAACGGCCGCTGCATGCAAAATCGCAAAAATTGAAATTGCAGGAGGTCTACAACAGCAAGAAAAAAATGATAAATGGCTGGGTTGCATCCAGGGGGAAGATTCGCATTTGCCTATATGCAATTTGCCTACATGGATAGTTGACCTTGCCGAAAAAGCGTAATAAAGGGTTGCTCAAGGGTTGTCTTCGGCGGCGGTCTCGTCTTCAGGACTTCCTCCCATCCTGTTGTTTTCTTAAGTGTCTGTCTTTTTTTTGGCGCGCAAAAAATAATCTAGAGTTGGGCATATGGTAACGAGTTGTCCGAGGCTTCTTTTTCACGCAAATGGATTGCAGCTGAGGATGATGATGATGTGTCTCTCTAATGAAACGTTTGTTTGCAAATGAGCAAATATATAGATAGGGAAAAGGGTGAAGGGTTTGCGGGTGAAGGTAGGGTTAAAAAAGGTTGGGAGGAAGATGATGCAAGGATTATTTGCATGAAATTTACTTTGAAGATGATGTAGGTAGGACAGACAGTAGGGATTAATTGTATGCGATGTTTTTAATCGATTCTTGGGTTACCTTTAAAATCACCTAGGGTCATAAAAGACATAATTATTAAGGAGATCACAATATCTGTTCATATTGAGCATAACTGAAATTTCAAATGTTAAACTTGAGGAGTATGATGTTTAATAACAGAATCTTAACTTCTTTAATATCATTGAAGTGTAAACTTCGCAAAACTTGTATAAAATACGTGTTCCTTTTAAAGAATATTTATTGCCTCAAAAATAACTTAAATCGCTTAAGCTAATTATGAGTTACGATGGGTTGACACTTAAATAAAACTACTCCCACTGCCCGACCTAATTCCGCTTTTGGTCAGCCCAATAAAATAACGATTTTCGTGCTTGAAATCCTGTTTAAATGCATTAAACACAGCTTAAACAAATAAAATTGCTTTGCATTTGCCACAAATTAGTCGCCGCCTTGTATTCCCCCCACAAATATAGAGATATTCGCATATTTAGTGAGTGTGTGTGCATTAATTGTATTGCGCGATAAACAAAGCGATCAAAAGCAGACCAGTTTATATGTCTTGATTCGGAAATTATGGCACTTTAATTACCAAAGCAGACATTGAGGTTTTCGGGGTCTCTCGCTGGCTCACTCTCGCTAGCCAGACGGCAAATTAATGCAAAATAAGGAGGAAAAATTATGCTAATAATTATAAACAAGTGCGCCCAAAAACCGGGCTCTCGAAACGAGGTGTGAGATAGAGACGAATCGGAGTCGAGGCGGGTAGATGGCCATATAAAAATGCAGCCAAAATGCTAATCGAGCTCATTATCATCCAAATCAACGGCTCCGTGGTCGCGGCCGCCACGAGAGATCTTCCATTCATAAACGCAGCGCTTAGTGATTTTTTCCTGTTCATTTTTTACCATCTTTTATTTTTTTATTTACTCGCATGCGGCGCATAATTATGCAACAAGTCCTTTCCTGGCCACAAAAACCAAAAACGCGGCGCATAGCATATGGAAGCATATGGAAAACGGAAAAAAAGACAGAATAACCGAGGGAGGATGGCCGGCAGAAACAGGATTTTTTCCTTCGACATTTGAAATTTAAATACGGCATTTTTTTTACTCACTCACTCAATGTTGTTATTTAGCGCCGCCACCTAATTATCATGTAAATTTTTGTCTAAGGATGAACAATGAATGGACGAGTGTGACTGTGACTTTATTTTGTCACTGGGTTTTTTTTGGGATGGAAACGGTTGGCTTATTAATTATGCCCAAGTGCGTGGCCAAAGGATATGGTCATGGAAAAAAACGTAAACAAATTCATGCAAATACGGTTGAACTTGTCTGGCTTGCGTCTGCTCGGTTGGATGACCTTAGTTTGCATAATTTTTTGATTGAGCTCCTGACCTGCCTCAAAAGAGGTCTAGAACTATGTTATGAATTTTATGGTTGGCGGGGGTGTGAGTTTTATGTGGGAAAAAGGCTTAGCAGGGAATTTATTTAGGACAGGGAATAATGAAACAAGTAATGGCACTTTTTAAATAATTACATTAATTAAATATAATTAATTTTACCCATGAAATATGTTAAAGTATAATTAATACATAGACATTTAGAAAGTGGTTTTTTTTATTAACAAACCTAAAAGTATTATTATAGAAGTTTTATAGAACTGTGCGGGAATTTCCCTTACAATAAATATAATACTTAAATATCCATTGATTGCCTCCAGTTCCATTCATTTATTGTTTCAGAGAATATAAACTTTTTGAGGTGTTTTCCGTTCGATTCTTCCCATTGTCCTCTAACGCTTCACTATATAAAAAAAAAACTAAAAAAACTGCACACCGATAACTATAAAGATGGCAATTCCTTTAGCTATGCAAATTTGTTGCGAATATTGCGGCAATTTCGCAAACTACCCATAGAATCAATGAAACTGACAGATAAAGTAAATCAAAATCTATTGTCAGGGGAACATAATTTAACTGTAAACTAGTCAAAACACAGTCTCTCTCACAAAGGGAAAAAGAAAGATGCCTGGTGCAAAAGAAAGGTATTTTTTGGTAAAACAAATGAAACTGATATGCATAACAACAAATAAAACGATACGTGTTACACGGCAATATTGTTTTCTTCTTTGAAATTTAAGTTGGAAATTTTAAATTATAGATTAAGATTTATTAAATGTTGAACAAGCGATTTACCATGCACATTTTTTTGTATGTTACACAATTTGAAAAAGTATCATTATGATTTATAATTTCGTTTTACAATATATCGAAAAGAGACAACCAAAATGTGTTACATTTTTAATTTAACCTAAAAGTATAGCAAATATTTTTTTTATTGTATATTTATTTTGATTGAAGCACAGACACATTTATTGTTATTTTGATAATTGTTAGCTTATATGTGTGTCTGTACGTTTATGTACACCTTTTAGGGAGTCTTCTTTAAAAAGCTGGTGCCCAATTGGTCAGCTTGAAAGCACAGTGATAAAAAGTCAAATATTTGTACAATTTATTTGGTTAACTCCTCGAAAACGATATGTTACTAATACGTTCTAAAAATCGCAATGGCAACCTCTCCTGATTCCCCCCTCCCCCGCACGGAAACACTCACACACACTCACAAAAACGAAAGGAAAAGTTGTCTGGCCAAGGAGCTGCAAGGAACTGAAACAAAGCTTCCCAAAGGAGAGAGAAGTCCTGGAGGGAAAAGCTCCAACCGGGAGACCGTACTGGGTTCTGGTACCACTAGGTAATATTCCCGATAGTTGGAGTCCACGGAAATCGGGAGATGCGCCGTCGCCGCCGCTCATCTCTCGCCCTCTCTCGCTCGCACTGGGGGCAATTAAAAATGTCACTCTGCATGGGAATGCATTGGACTGAAGAAACTCCGTAGAGCCGGCTCTACGTGTGTCTCTTTTTTCGACTCTTTTTTCTTTTTTGGGGGCGTAACGCTGGAATAAACCGAACCCAATAGAGCGCAAGTCTCCCTTCCAGTTGTTCGGTGGGATAGAGGCCATCTCGCTCGGCGCACCGCTGGCGGTGCTCTTCGCACCCATAGAGCGCTGGAAGGCCAGGCGGCCAAACTGGTTCCGCTCGCCGGGGTGTGTGTGCGCCACTCGGGGCGTGTGTGTGCGTATTCGTATCTGTGTGACGTACCGCCGAGCGTCGAGAGCGCTCAACGTAGAGCTGCCGTGCGAGACATGACGTTAGTTCACTTCGATAGCTCTACGAGTCTGCACGTGAATTTTCCCTGGGCTCTCGGCTGTCTTGACTTCTCAAATCTCAAAACACACAATCTCAAGCTCAAGCCTGAAGCTCAATCTGTATCTCAATCTCAATCGGCATCGTATCGTATCCGGTCAACCCATCTACCCAGTAAAACACACATTCGAAATCGAAATCACAATCTGTTTCGCGTTTTGACCACTGAGTAATATTCATGATCTAAACCGAAATTTCCCTCGAGTGGAGAAATTTCCCTCATACAACAAAAAAATAAAAAGTGCCAAGTGTTCAAGAGTGCTAAACAAGAAATTCTTAAGAAAAATCAAATAACCAAATGAAACAAAATTAGCCAAACGCTAGTCAAGCTAATAAGTAAACCGTGAAATACCAAGCAAATTGCCGTCGGATTTTCGGATCGAGCTGACCAAAAAAAAACTTGTTGAGCGCGCTCGAGGGCCACGCCCCCCGCCAAAAAATCGAAAGATATAGATAGATTATTTTTGCGCCTGCCACGTTGCCCGTAAAAGACGTCAAGACGGTTGCCTCACGGTTCGAGTGGAATGAGCATAGGGACCCTGGTCTTCCTTTCGATCGATCGGTGTACAAAGTCGTTAAACTGAGCCCCAACTTGGAGCCCTACCCCGCCAGCGTGGAGGGCCTGAACAGCCCCAGAGCGGTGGGGATGGCCGCGACCTCGTACATGACCCCGCCGAGCGGTGACCTGGACATGGCCCTCGGAGGCGGTGGCTATCACACCTCGTCGCCGCGATCAGCGGCCGATGCCGGTGAGATGAAGTACATGCAGCACCATCATCATCACCATGCAGCCGCCGCGGCAGCCGCCCATCATCAGTTGCCCTCGTCGCCCTCGCCGAATGGCCAGGGCAATGGCACAGGATTGGGACTGGGTCCCGGCTCCGGGCTGGGCTCTTGGAGTGCCCTCCATCCGGATCCATGGTCCCTGCCCACCCATCATACGCACCATCATCCCGCCGCCGCTGCCGTTGCCTCGGCGGCGGATACCGTCAAGCAGGAGATGTCGCATCTCTCGCAGCAGACGCGCATCCAGCAGGGCATGGCCTCGCCCCATGCCGCCTGGCACGCCCCCCATGCGGGCCACTATGCGCCCACGGGTGGCTCGCCCTTGCAGTACCATCATGCCATGAACGGGATGCTCCATCATCCGGCACATGCGGCCGCTGCGGCCCATCATCAGAGTGTGGCGCCACTGCATCATGCGTTGCGCGGGGAATCCCCACAGTTGCACATACACCATCACATGGGCGGCGGCGATAGGGATGCCATAAGCGGCGGCGAGGAGGACACCCCCACGTCGGATGATCTGGAGGCCTTTGCCAAGCAGTTCAAGCAGCGCCGCATCAAGTTGGGCTTCACCCAGGCCGATGTGGGTCTGGCTCTGGGCACCCTCTACGGGAATGTATTCTCGCAGACGACCATCTGCCGCTTTGAGGCCCTACAGCTGAGCTTCAAGAACATGTGCAAGCTGAAGCCGCTGTTGCAGAAATGGCTGGAGGAGGCGGACTCGACGACGGGCTCACCCACGTCCATTGACAAGATCGCCGCCCAGGGGCGGAAGCGCAAGAAACGCACCAGCATCGAGGTGAGCGTGAAGGGCGCCCTGGAGCAGCACTTCCACAAGCAGCCGAAGCCCTCGGCGCAGGAGATCACCTCGCTGGCCGACTCCTTGCAGCTGGAGAAGGAGGTGGTGCGCGTGTGGTTCTGCAATCGGCGGCAGAAGGAGAAGCGCATGACGCCGCCGAATACGCTCGGCGGTGATATGATGGACGGCATGCCGCCGGGTCATATGCATCACGGTGGCTATCATCCGCACCACGACATGCACGGCAGTCCCATGGGCACCCACTCCCATTCCCACAGTCCGCCCATGCTGAGTCCACAGAATATGCAATCCTCGGCGGTTGCGGCGCATCAGTTGGCGGCCCACTAGCAATCAGAAATCCAGGAGTCGAACTCAGCTGCAGCTGCGTCCACTCCTGCATCCCTCAATAGTCTAAGCCAGCAGCAACAGCAGCAGCAGCAGCAGCAACAACAGCAGCAGCAGCAGCAACAGCAGCAACACCAGCAGCAACAGCAGCAGCAACATCAGCAGCAGCAGCAACACACACCGAATACACCATCCTCCAGTGCGGGCTCATCGGCAACGATGACCAGCCAGGTGATGTCGCCGCAAAGTCCGCTGGGCAGCTCCTCCGCTGGCAATCAGGCTAACAACAACAACAACAACAATAGTAGCACCAACAATAATAACAATAATAACAACAACAATAACAACGAGGAGCAAGTGAAACACCACCAGCAACAACAACAGCAACAACAGCAGGCATCCAGCATTGCAGCCGCTGCAGCAGCCGCCATGTACATGGATCCCATGCGCTACCAGCATCCGCACCACCCGCATCCGCATCCGCACCAACATCCGCACCTGAATCCCGCCCACCATCCGCACCTGTTCCACACAAGCGATCAATTGTCGCAGCACTCGCAGCAGCAACCCGTCGGCGGTGCCAGCAGCAACTCGCAATTGTCACCGGGCGCCGGTAGCAACAGTGGCCTGCCGCTCCAGCCGCCCAGTTCCGCCTCGCCGGCGGGTTCGGCCTCCTCGGTGCTCGGCGGTCATTTGAATCTGAATCCGCTGCACCAGCACCATCACTACCAGCACCACCATCACCAGCAGCACCATCACCACCAGCAGCAGCAGCAGCAGCTGCACGCCCGCCGCCTCTTCGAGCTGAGTCTGCAGTTTGGCGCTGCGGCGGCACCGGGAGCGGTACGGCACTTCAACAGCTTTGGTGGGGCGGGCGGAGCGGGCGGGGAATAGCATTCGTCGGCCGCCTGGTTCGGCTATGAGTCCTCCTAGGACTCGGCGTCGAGCGGGTGGCCGCAGTTCAAGCGGGAGCAGCCCTAGAACCGTACAGTCGAACTTCTCTAACGCGAACTCAGTCGGTTCGAGTTATATGCCCCCCGAGATAGCTACCTAAAGTTTAGCTAACTCAGAGAATTTTTCCATGGTTCGTAAGTCTGAAGATCATTTTTGCAATTTTTCTAAAACCTCAATTTCAAAATTTTCTGTAGTAAGACCTTTTAAATATCAAAAAATATTCTCAAGTTCTTAAATATGTTATATCATCTATTCCAAATGTAATATTTCGAACCATTTCCCAGTTTCCGTTAGACAAGTTCGACTGTATGCAGATCTATAGAAATAGAGTTAAGATGAGGTCCGTTGATGAGGTTGAGAGATCGATCTTTTTTACCAGTGCATTAATCTGTGTTAAACTTCAGCTTAAAATAGGAGCAGGGAGTGGAGTAGATGAAGATGGAGATGGGGGAGGCTGCCATCCACCAGTTTAGTTTGTTTTTAAAGTTTGAAAAACTTGCTTAATAATTAAATCAAATTAACTAAATTAAATGTAAACGAAAAATTTCCTTTGTATAAAGCGAAAGAAACACGCAATTCAAATCAAACGTGAAACCAAGTGATGTTGTTTTAACCTAAAAAACTAAATGCTAAAAATTAAACTAAATGAATGAGAAGAAAACTAGTTAAAAGTGCGACCCAAGTGTTAAAGAAACCAAAAAAGACAAGCAAAGAAAACAGATTCCTCAGCTGCTCTCCATAAGCAAGGTAAATGTTTCCATGCCCAAAAGTCCACAAAATATTTTTTCGTTCAACACTTTGTCGCCGTCTAGATCAAGTTAAAAAAAGGCTCAATGAAAATGGCAGCAGTAACACAACTCGGTCGGTTCTAGCTAGGGTTTAGGTTCTTAAGCAAGCCGTGTTTATATATATTATATATATATAGCCAGTAGATTGTACTCTAAAAAATTTATAAACAAACAAAACGTAAAACAAGATGGAAAAACGAAAATCGAAAAACGTAGAATTTAACGCGCGGCGAAGTAAACAAGAATACGAGATGAAAAGAGGATTAAGTAAAATATGAAAAACACTCCAAAACATCTGTAAATAAAAACTTACAGTTAAGTCATATTTTTTAGCTTTAAATGCAATTGTAGATTTTTTAATAAACCCTTTAAGAAAAAAATCAGAAAAATACAACCACAACCGAAAAAAAACATAAACAACATTTACAAAATATAAATTGTAATTTCTAGGCGGTAATTTTTAACGAATAGGCACGTGAAGTTTAGTTACTTAGTACTGTACTTTCTATATAAGCAAGGAAATCGAATGGAATACAAACAAGAATATAGCTAAATCTTAAAATTTAAACAAACCAATAATAATCAAATACAACAAATGCTAAATTGTAATATATTAATTGATGTACATTAAAAACAAAAGGCAGACTAAATGCTAAACAACAAACTTGAAATTATTTCAACAACAAGAATAAACGAAAATTGTGTAAAAAATTCCTCTTTGTGTTTTTTGATATACGTTTACATTTTGGTGTACCTACTTTTATATTTTCTTATTTACGACAAACGAAAAACAAAAAGTAAATCAAACTTTATCTTTTGGGTGTATCTTTATAATATAGAATTAAACGAAATTTTTGTTTAGTGTACTTTGTTTTGGTATGTTGAAAACTATGCTATAAGAGCGAGAGAAGTGAAGCCGAATATTTAAGATTAAGCCATGCCCTCAACTGTATAATAAATTATATAGCCGTACATATATATGCAACAGCAAAGTCAACAAAGCGGTGCATTTCCACCCACACGACACACATCCACACAGAGGAAAACCAAGAAGAAAAAATTAAAAAGCAAAAAAAAACTCTTAAAAAACAAATAAAAAAGAATATTATTCGAAAAAAACCGTCCTTTTATTATTATTTAAATAGCGGCTCAATTTGTATGCGTTTATTTTTCGTCTGTTTTTGGTTCGGCAGTTTATGAGTCGTTGGTTTTGACAGTTTTACAGGAATTTTACGGCCACCTTTTGCAGATGCTGGTTACGATAGGGCGTTAATATCGATGGAATCGCGATAATTGCGCGTATTATTAATTTCGTTTGTTTGCTTAAAGTGTTCGGAAAGCCATTAAACAATTAAGTGGGCATATTATAATGCGATTGGCTACGTCAGAGAGCGAGCAATTGGCAATTAACTAACAACACCCCTCGGAGATCGAGTTATTGGGCTCGTTAATGAAAGTTGCCATTAAAAAGCGTGGCATTTCGTGAAATTACCCTTTTATAAGGCCTTAAGTGCTGCTGGAAGCACCTGATGGATCTCTGTTTGTCCCTGGTCAATGCACAACCGTCAAAAAAATATAAACCGGACGTCAATCGGCGGGCGATTAAAGTGACAATTTACCAGATTTACGCGGTCAGCAGCGATTTATTGAATTCGAGGAATCGAGGAAAGCTTTTCATGAATTCGACTTTTAATTTTCTGCAACTCAGTTTAAGATTGGATTTTTTAAATTGAAGTTCTCGTATTCATTCTTTTTCTAACTTATAATTTTTCCAACATTTTTAGTGTACTGCATCCTACGATAGCTTTAAATTTACCCCCACAACCTATTCCACAAGCTCCGAAAATCTAAAACAAACTCATAAAACATCATTAAATTCGCCTCATTCCATTCCATTCACCTCATCATCAGCCATCTAATGTACCGCACGCTTTTAACATTTAATTCATAATTTAAATGCATATTTCATTGGATGTTGATTAACAATTTCGTACCGAAATGATATTGGTTAGTAATTCTGCATAAAAATTGCATCAGCCTGTAAATATATCCCGAGCCCTCACCCGCTTTTGTGTGCGAAATAAATTGGCATAATTGAAAGCCAGTTTTAGGCTTAAATATATAAACAACAGCCGCGAAAACAATAACAAACAACAAATAATAACAATAATATACACATATAATACAGAAGCGCAAGTGCAATGATTTTTATTTATGCGACGGCATTAATGCTTAAACAAAACAAAAATGTCTGTTGTTATTTTCGCTGGAATTGAACTTTTGGCGCGTGGTTTATAATGTTTCAATAAAGCGTACAGAAAATGGAAAATAAAAATGAAAATTATATTTTCCACACCAAACACAAAATCCACCCACGCGATGCGCTTCATGCACTTGAACAATATATAGACAGTATTATATATCCACCCATATAATTATTCTCTATGCTCTCTTAATTATTTTCTAACAACGAAAAAAAATAAGTTGACGGCGAAATGAAATGAAATTTAATGGGGAAACAACATGGCTGCCCACAAGCCTATTTATACGTTTATCTATTGCCACCTGCCATTTTTGGGGTAGTTGAAGCACACACACAAAAACGCACACCCACTCGGGTAGACGAAACCTGCCCCTCGGGCTATATAAACTTTTATATGGAAAACGGAAAGGAAAGGTTTTTTAATGGTCATGTGCTAGTTGAAATACGCTTTAAGAATTTATGGGATTTTCGGAGGATTGTCCAAAAGAAATTGGGGGAAATTCCTGACTGATTACTCACAGTTAATGGATTTGCTTGATTTTAATATGAAGTGTATTAACTTGCTAAGGTGAAAGGTTTATAAGGATTTTTATATCAAAAAACTAGATTTAAAGGTTATGCTTTTAATTCGATGTCAAAAATATTTAATTAAAGGGATAGTTGTCATATTTTCTATTATTTTTACTCTCTATATTATAACCTTCTTTATAGTTTTTGATGATAGGAACTACTGATTAATGAACTCTAATGGTTTATTTTAATAAGTTTGTTATAATTCCATATCTTTATTTGTTATAGTTATACTACCTTTTTATAGAGTCACTCTACAGTTAAAACACATTCCACATTATTTGATGATAAAAGAAACCACTAATATACGAGGGCAAATTGTAGTTTTCATTGGTTTTAATGTTACCGTGCGTGCCGAGTGCGACAGCGGCAACACCCCCTACAAGCCAGCACACCCTCCCCCATACACATATAATATATCCCCCGACTATACCCATATATCTATATAGTGAAACAGAAACAGAAACCCCTCCTCGAGGCAAACACCGACATTTTCATTATTATTTCGAGTGGAGTTGGTTTTTTATTATTTCGCGTGGCAAAGCAACACGCCGCCTGCTTTTGTACATTTCACTGTGTGTGCTTTTTGGGCTGCGTGCATACAACCGTGTCAATAATTACCCGTGGGACTGACACGACCAACGAGAATCATTCAAATGTTGCAAAGGCAGCAGTGGCAGAAGCAGAAGCAGAGCCACCAGCACCAGCGATCCACTAACAATGGCTAAAACAAAAGCTACAGCGGCAGCTGAGAGACTCAGAGGCTGGCAAGCCGGCAGCAGAAGTTGGTAACGGAGCGTCGGGCCACAATGGCCGGGCATATTGCCATTGTGGCAGTACTGGCACTCCAGCTATAGCCCCGGCAAAATGGCTGACACTAGTCAACGTCACCGAAAGAGGGCTGACGAACTGGCCGACTGACCATCTGGCAGGAGCGGACTATCCAAGGTTTAAATATGGATTTAAATAGTTAAGAAATGTTGATAAACTTACTTTGTGAAATACATTTTTAAGAAAAATATCTCATTAAAACCAATTGAGACAATGTAAATATAGCACCTTTACTTTTTTAAGCTTCCATCCTTCAATTTCCCATTCTTACTTCAAAAAGAATCTATACCTCTTTCAAAACAGGGTTAAAAATAAGATTACAAATATTATATGGATATTCTAAAGCTTAAATTTAAATTTGTCCGTTGATTTATTAAAACTTCTTAGATAAATTGAATATAATTATTTCATAACAATCTATGAGTAACTTAAAATGTATATAATAATCGTAATAATACCATTTTACAAACCTTAAAAGGATTATTTTCAGAATGTTATATCTTAGATCCTGACCTACGAACATTTGAATTGTATTTCCTATATTCCTTTGAGAATATAAGATCTTTTCAAAGTTTTGATATTTAAATAATTTAAACAGATTTTCTCTTAGCCCTGGAAAACTCCCATAATCCGGACCTGTGATTGGGCCGCACATTTCGCTGTGTGACTTGGCTTTTGGCTTCGGCTGGGCGACTTTTTCACTGCCATTCGGAGTGTCGGGGACTCTGTGCTCATTATCTATGCTTCCTTTGGGAATTTTCATTTTCTTTTTCCGCGCTCCTCTTTATTTTTTTCAATTCTGGCCGGTGTGCGTTCGTGTGCGACAGTTCTGCAAAGAAAACAAAAGAAAAGACAGATGAACAACACTTTCCAGATGGGAAGTACGTATATAAAGCTATATATAGGTAGGTAAATCAGTGAGTTTGCTATTGTACATCGTGGCGCTAATTACAAAATTTATTGCCTCTTAACAGAGCCCTCGAATACGTAAGTCGAATGCAGTCAAAAGCGTTGGAAATTCTTTTTAACTACCCACAAAAAAAGATATATATTTAGAAAGAGAGATACTCCCACCAGCGAATTAAGCTGTGTGTAAAGTGCAAGCGAAACAAGTCACAAATTGAGATGGGGCAGGTGGAGGTGGTGGTGCTGGTGGTGCTGGTGGTGCTGAAGGTGGTTCGGTGGTGCGGGGGCTGCCATCCGACACCTTTGACAGTGGAGGCACTTACAGATCAGCAGACACCTAGACAAATAATGCGGGCATGCTATATACGGAAGATCATTGTGATATATGTATAAGAGCTTTATGGAACACCAAGGGGAAGTTTGAAATGTTTCGAAAAAGTCTGGGGAAATTTATTAGGCAATCTATTAGTACATTTTCTTAAGTAATGAAGGGGCAACTGCTTTAGGGATTCTATAAACAATGGTATCTTTGCAAAGTACGTACCTCTAAAGGAATGACTCCTTTATCCATTTACAAAGCAGGCTTGAATCTACAATTCAAAATATGAAAACCGCAAATAAAAGGAATTATTTTCCTCGTTAGTTAGCGCTTACAGTGCTAAGTGGAAAATTAATGTATCTAAAATCAAGTGTACCTATATGTGTTTAAGGTATATTTGTGATTTTGCTGGATTATTAAAAAACATGAATTAATATAATTACTTATTAATTTAATTGAGTATTTATACGGAGGGTTTTATTTATGTCAATTATATTTTGAAATCAACAGATTGACCTAAAAAATTTAAAACAATAAGAGTTCTTGATTAATATTTCTCAATGTTTTTAGTGACTTTGTAAAATTACTTCATTTTTGGAATGGTTACCCAGCCTTCTGTTATTTTTTGAAAATTTAAAATATATGTCTGAGTTTTTAATACATGTTTTCTGTACTCATTAATGGTTATAACTTTTTAAGCCACTCTCGCAGCCATCTACCACTGCAATCGACTTCGAAACAAACATCTCTCTAATAAGCAAACGCAATTGATGGCTGAACCATGACATTGTCGCCGATCTCCGGTCGCCGCGAGTCGCCATT